TTCTTATAAATGTCTGGTTATTGCTTTTACTTATCATAACATGACCCAAGTGTGAGCAATTATATGCAAAAAATCATTTCAAAAGAAAAACAAATTATAGGTAAACAAAGTCAACTATGGGTAGAAATATAATCAGTGACCCTTAGAGCTAGGTGTTAGAAACAAGGACTTGAATGAACATATATCTGTGGAAAGCGACATGAAATGGCAAATGCAGAGTCTGAAGTAGACAGCTGTCATTATGAATCCCGCTATTGCTTTCAGTATTGCAGTGCGTGTAGAGTATTTCTGTTGGTGCCAATTAATCAGTGCTATTGTTATAATCTCATTAGCAGATTACTGAGTTCGCAAATGCCTTAAAAGGGGCAGTGACTCCAAAGTTCAAAATAAAATCTCCCACGCTTAGAGAAGGAAATGTAATTGTTTAAAGACCAGGAGTTTTGGATTCTATAACTTGGTTTTTTTCTTTATCAGATGGAGAAATGAATATACAACACAAAGTTCTGTAATAAGAATTAAGTGAAATAATCCTTGTAAAAGCCTTACCAGAGAACCTAGTTTAAGAAAGTACTCCATAAACCATGGCTTGTGGGAGCTAGTGATATCAATTATGGCACTTTCCAAGGTTTAAATTATTTTTTTTAGACATAAGGAAAAGAAAACAGCAACCTATTTTTGTATTATAATATATATGCCCTCTATACTATCCCAGTGAGACACTGGTGTTTCAATGGAAAAATTTTCATCTTCCACACAGAGACCCAGGTTCGATTCCTGGCCAATGCACCTCATGTGCAGCCACCGTCCCTCTGTCAGTGGAGGCTTGCATGTTGCTGTGATGCTTATTAGTCTGGAACTTCCAGACTAAGAGAGACTAGGAAGAAAGGCCTGGTGATTGACTTAAAAATCAGCCAGTGAAAACCTTACGCATCACAACAGTCTGATCTGAACTGATCATGGGGATGGCGCAGGGCTAGGCAGTGTTTTGTTTTGTTGTACATGGGGTCCCCATGAGTTAGGGCAACTTGATGGCATCTAACAACATCAACAACCATGCTATTCCCACTGCCACTGAATAAGGACAAATTCAAATAATCATTTCTCTCTTGCCACGACTATGGCAATCATTCTCTCAACTAGTCTTCCTGCTATTACCCCAACCCACCTTTCTTACTGCTGACTTGTGAAATGTAGCTCTGAGCTTAGAGCTCCCTGATTAAACAAAAACAAAACCCAAGAAAAGACACCAACAACAACAAACTTCCAGTGGTTTTAAAGACAGCCACCAGTGATTGGTTAGAGACAGCACCTTACCACCATATTAAAAGTTGGCTAAACTGGCCCTATTTCAATCAACATTCATGCTGCTTCTCACCTCTTCCTCATCCTCCCTTCTCCAGCTTCCCACCCCCACAGTACATATGAATGGGTGTCTTGTGAGAGCGGTGAGGAAAGAGAGGATTGGGTCTACGGCTTTATGAGAGAGCTTGGTTCTTGAAGAAGGTGCTCCTCCCACCCTTGCCAAGTTAGGAGGCAGATTCATAAAAACTGAAGAAGCCTGAAAAAAAGAGAAGCTGGCAAGTTGTTCCATAACTGGAGACTTGTTGAGCTGAAAAACTAAAGCCCCACCCACTAGGAGCATGGTGAGAGAGTTGTAAAGAGAACTTCAGACTGGAGTTTGGGGTGTATGTAAATAAAGACAGAGTAGTGCTTGTTTCAGAGGTTTTCTAAATCTGAGGGTGATATGGAGATGAAGGGTGGGGTGTATGTTTCATGTTGGGACCGGGTCTGTGGTGCAGTGCCTCCATAGCCCTTGGAGGGCATAGAAGAGAAGCTCAGTGGAATACTGTGAAGAAACACTGAGGCTGAAGGAGGAGGCAGGATTCTTGCTACCTGAATGGTTGCCAGCCAAGAGAGGTGATGCCCCAAATAGAAAGAGGGTTGGAAGCATAGATCATCAAATATGTCTGTCCCTACCTTAGCATACTGAGAAAAACTCCAAGAAAACTACACACACACTATTCCAAGGTGTCTCAGAGGTACATTATGCTCCCTTCTCCTTCCCCAATCCGCATCTGCACAGACACTAAGCTGGAGCTGAAGAAGCAAAAGAGTAAGCTACACTCTTCCTTACTTTCAATCTCTACATCCAGGATTCTTGCCTACTGAGGGAAAAGGAGGCAATGAGATGTGAGCTGGATATTAAAGTAAAGTTTCCAGTAAGATTGAGTCTTAATAACTGAAATGAAATCTTAGTAACTGAAAGGGACCAAAAAGTGATGGATTCCACTTAAGATATTATTAAGGAATGGAAAATGGATTTTTAACAGAGCACAATTAAAAGCAGAGTTTGGAGAATATTAAACTTGGTTCATACACTATACTTCATTTAGACGAATCTTCTCTAAAACAGGTTTACAAGATTGGGGTTAAGATACAACTTCTGACTAGGCTTTGTAATTAGCTTTTCTCTGACCCATCTGGGCAGGTCTGTGGAGATGAAAAAATTGAGGTGCTGTTTTAAAGCAAGGAGAGCATTACAGGTCTCTTTGGCAACTCTAGGGAAGGCTGAAGTCAGGGTCAGGGGTCTGTGAATACATCAGTGATAAGTAGAAAAGTGAGTTGGTGTAGGCACTCTAGCGAAGGTGGGAGAGTCAACCCACTTCAATGAAAAAGCTAGAATTTCTGCCATGACATGCTTTTGGAATGTGTCTGCATCTGAATACTACTTTTTCTCATTAACAAAAGATACGTGTGTGTGTGTGTGTGTGTGTGTGTGTGTGTGTGTTATGTATGTGTTTTAACAGTAGCTAACAGTTTACCATGAAGAGTTTGGGGATTATTAATTTACTTGTAATACCAAAGTGCTGATTATTTGGGATTCTAACTAAAACTCATAAATTTTAATGGGTAAAATATCACTTCTATAAACGGAACTTTATCTCATTATAGATCAACTTACAGTTAAAACAAGAGCAGATATGTTTATGCTTTAAGTTTTTCTTATTTTCTGATAAAGAATTTTTTTATATTCCTAAATTTTAAGGGGATATGATTATCACCTTATAAGAACAGAAATAAGACTGAATTTTTATCAAATATTCTATTCCTATCTCTATAGGAAAAGAAAATGAAATTGTTGCCTAGTGGAGTGACTTTCCACTAGAGTCCTGTAATAAAACATAAGGGATACCTCCAACTTGCCCTCACTTCCTCTCACCTCTAATCCTACAGTGAAATGAAATGAGAGTGTCTAACTTGCTTTATAAACTGACATCCTGAAACTCCCATTTCCACATTCAAATCTATTTCTGGCTATTCTCCCCTCTTCCTTTAATTCCACTCCTCATTTTACTTTCACCTATTAGAATCATTTTTCTGTATTGTAGTTGTCCCCCAGATGTCATTTCAAAGGATAACAAATGTTATGTTACTTTTATTTTCTCCACGGCTCCAACACTTCCCAAGGTATTTCCAGCTCAAAGAAACAGACACACACACACTGTAGCTTTTTGTAGAAAAGGTGGAATAGGAGTGAATGTTATGAACCTCTGCAGAACACAGTAAGTCTCAGCTATCATACTGGCAGTTCCTCCTGTGAAACTCAGCTGGTTTTACAGAAACCCACCAGGTCTGCTGACAATCCCATGTGCCGGCCAGATGTTTATCTGTCTCTTGATGCTACAGTATAGAACTACATTTTGCCTTATAGAATAAGTTCATTTCTTATGACAATGCACTTTCATGAATACAACTTAATTTCATTAAGTACAACTGCTTTACATTTGTCTTTGCAGGCATACTATGTCTTTCATGCTAAGGAAAGCATAAAACTTATCAGAAGGGAGATAAGTCCCATTATTAGATGACCTTTTTCTTATTAATTGCATAACTATAACATCCAACAATGGAAACTATAGAGGATTTTGTAGGATGTTGATTCAAAGATTAAAATAATTAATGAGAGCTACTTTAAGTATAACTGTACTGATTCTCTTTTCAATCCCAGAAACAACATTTCTAAAACCACTTACGTGTACATCTGGTAAAGTTATCACTGACATTCTTAGATGTATGGAAATATGTATTCTGCAGGGTTAAAAGGGTCTTAACCCATTGCTGTCAAATCAATTCTGACTGATGGCAACCCTACAGGACAGGGTAGGACTGCCCCATAGAGTTTCCAAGGGGCACTTGGTGGATTTGAACTGCTGACTTTTTGGTTAGCAGCTATAGCACTTAACCACTACACCACCAGGGTTTCCAAAAACCCATTGCTGTCGAGTCGATTTCGACTCATAGCGACCCTATAAGGTCTTGGAAGCCCGGGTGGCATAATGGTTAAAGGTCAGCAGTTCGAATCCACTAGGCACTCCTTGGAAATCCTATGGGGCAGTTCTATTCTGTCCTATAGGGTTGCTATGAGTTGGAATAAACTGGATGGCAACGGGTTTTTTTTTAAGGGTCTTAATCAGGATGTTCAGTATAGAGTTGTACTCATTTAATCACTTGTTTATCTGGTCTACTTTTCCTTGCTTGCCCAACTGAGCTGGCATTATCAGGAGAATAAAGGGTACCTATAGAATGCTTCGTTATTAGGCATCTTGAATAGTTTTAAATGCATGCTACTTTAAGTTGTCTTGATCTGTAATTACATGTTTGCATACCTTTTTTGCAGCTTTTTTTTCTTTTTGTCTTGATGGGGACCATTCAGCGATGAAATTAAGGCAAATAGTAATAAAAGCAAAAGTACAACTCATTTGTTAAATCATACCAGGCAATAAAAGCTTACAATAAGCTACCTTAAGTAGAGAAAATAGGGATAAAAACTAAAAAACTCCACCTCTCAACTTGTGTTTGAGGATCAGTACAAATAAATTTAAAAACAAAAAAAGTGTGAGACAAATATCACTAGTCAGTTTTATTTTGCTTTAACACGATAATAGCTGTTTTCGATATTTACTTAACCTTTGTCTCTTTGGTATTGTTTCCTGACTTACCTGCAGCTGGAGTGGGCCTAAGCCTGGTGTTGCTGCGGCAGCAGCTGCCATGGTAGTTGGGATCAGCTGAACAGGGTAAGGGTCACCTAAGTAAGAGAATAATAGAGGCGTCAGCACCTTTTATCTACTCTCCACCTGCAAATTAAACTCATGCATTCACTCTTTCCAAAAGCCTTCTTTTGTGTGCCTTGCTGAGGCCTAATGAAAAGCTCTATTGTGCAGCCTTTTACTAACACTCTTTTCACAATTCTGGCTGAGAGAGGAATGTGAATAAAAGGCACAAGCAATTAAGGCGGAAACCTCATCCTTTTTTCATGATGTATTTAGGAAAATGGGGGAAAAAAGTGCTCATTGATCAGAGGGCTGTATTTTACAACGCGTGCGTGTGCGCGCGCACACACACGTACACACACACACACACACACACACACACACACACACATGCCTGACAATCTCGATATGCTCCTCAGCAAATTTATAATGTTCTAAAAGGAACTTCACTAAATTTGTTTTTATTTTAACAAACTGAACTCCAAAGACTTAAGACAAGTGGCTTATCTTTTGGATGCTATGTTATTGTATTATTCAAATAATCTGTTATATAATAACTTATGGACAAATTTATGATAAAGAAGACACTTCCTATACTCTTTAAGTTATATAAAATACTGGCTTCTTGTTACTCCAGAGATAAATGTTTAATGAAATATTTTATACAGAAAACAGAAAATAGGTGGTTCCCCTCCAAAGGATTTTGCTTCTGTGAATATCTTTAAAAAAATTTAAAAAACCAAACTGATTAAAATTAATCTGAAGTTTTATTATATATGATCTATAAAATGTAGAGATACACACAAACATATGTATATATATAGTATATATATATGCACACAGACACACATACTAAAAGATTATTCTACATATTTTTAATGCAAATCAGTAGGTTTTTTCACTTAGTAAAGAGGTACAACAGACTTTTTGTATACAGCCCAATGATCTCCTAACAGATATAACTAGTAACACATATTATTAGTCATCTGAAATACAATAATAGCAATTAATTGAAAACAGTAACTATAAGAACAATTTGTAACATATAAAACATTTTCTTAGAATCTAATTTTTGAAAAATGTATTGAATGTCAAATGTATGGATAATGTAAGTTAAATAACTAGACATATTCATTCAAAAATATTTATTGAGCACTTGCTATGGGTTAAGCATGACTCTTGGCTTGAGAAATAGAGCTCTAAAAAGACTAATATGCAGAGGTGGATTTACTGGGAATTTCATGAAGCTTAATCATCGAGGTTCTGGGAGGGGGCTCCTAGCAGTGTGTTCACAGGGTCATACGTTTTAAACTTGTCTGCTTCCTTCATTTTATACTTTGTTGTGATTTCTTCTTATCAACACATATTCACTTTTATACCTGAGTGTGTATATATAACTTTTGTATTTTTATTCTTAAAGAAGGTCCTCCAAATTACGCTTCAGGCTTCAAAATACCTGAATTTACCTCTGCTAATATAGCTGCCTCAGAGCTTATAGTCTAATGGGAGAAAAAGAGACTTAAACGATTAGTATAAAAAATAATAACTGTTAAAATCAGGAGGCATGTAGTGCTATAGACCACACAGTACGCTCCTCAAACCTAGTCTAAGAGGTCGAAGGCAGTCTCCAGAAAGAAGTCACACTTAAGCTGAAACCTGAAAATTTTAAAGTGACCAAGCTAAAAGAAGGGAAGAGTGTTCCAGGCAGGGAAATAGTTTTCATGAAGGCTGAGAGTCCGATGGGAGTGTTGAACAACAGCACACTCCCTGCACAGTTGAAGTAGTGCAGGTAGGAAAGCAGAGATAAACGGGGCTTCTGAGGGACTCAGAGGTCAGATTATGTATGGTTTTATGAACAATATGAAAGAGTCTAAACTGTATCCTATAGGACAAAAGAAACCATGAGCAAGAGAAAACGAAAAAAATGATTGATTGAGTAAGATCACTCGGGCTGGTGTTTGAAGGCTGTAATCCATTAGTAAGCAGGTACAGAAATCGGCACAATCAGTAATAACGGTTTGGACTAGGATGGTGACAGTGAAGATGTAGAGTAACGGGGAGATTCACCTGATTTTTAAGAGGTAGAACACATAAAACTTAATGACTATTTACATATGAGAATAAGAGAAAGAGAAGACTCAAGGATAACTAAAATGGTTTTCACTTGAACAATCGATTGGGGAGTGGTACTATTTGTGGAGTGGATGAGAAGCAGGATTGCCAGGCATGGGGGAGGTGAACAGAAAGGGGGAGCAGAGGAGAAGAAATAAAAAAATCTGTTTTGGACACTTTAAGTTTGAAATTTGATATTCAAGTAGGGGTGTTCATTCCCATTGCCGTCGAGTAGATTCCGACTCATAGCAACCCTATAGGACAGAGTAGAACTGCCCCATAGGGTTTCCAAGGAGCAGCTGGTGAATTCGAACTGCTGACCCTTTGGTTAGCAGCTGAGCTCTTAACCACCGCACTACCAGGGCTAAACATGTTAGGATTTTAGGAGAGAAATCCACATAAGAGACATAAATTTGAGAATGGTCAGCACGTATCTGGAATTTAAAGCTATGGGCTTTGACTAGACCACTTAGGAACTAACCGTAGATAAAAGAGGTCCAAGGATTGGACTGTAGGTACTCTGAAACTTATAGTCAGGGAGATAAGGTAATCAGCAGAAGAGACTGAGGAGAAATGGTAAATTTGGAGTTTGAAAAGCCAAATAAAGAACGAATTTCAGAAAGAGTGACCAATATTTTCAAATGCTCCACAAATAGCAATGTGAAAATCATGCTAACCTCAATTATGTTATGTTTTCATGGAATGGAGTGTGAGAAAGCCTAGCTGGAGTCAGTGTGATCAATTAGGATGACAGAAAGAAATGAATTAGAGGCAGGAAGTATAGATGCTTGTTTTTCAAAAAAAAAAAAAAAAAAAGTTTTTGACAAGCAGCATTGGCATTATCTAGGAGTTACTTAGAAATACAGAATTTCAGACCCCACCCCAAATCTACTATGGGACGCAGGCTCTAAAATGGAACCGCCAATGATCCCCATCTCTTGGTATTTATGTCCTTGTGTAATCCCCTCCTCCTGTGTGTGGAATGGACCTAGTAACTTTCTTCTAATGAATACAATATGGTATAAAGTGTTGGGATGTCACTCCTGAGATTATGTAACAAAAATACTCTGTCTTGTCTGCCCCCTCCTCTCTATTGGTGCCAGCAGCCATTCTGTGGGCTGCCCAACTGAGAAGCAACACGGCAAGGATCTGATGTCTTTGACCAACAGCCAGAGAACACCTGAGGCTTTCCAATAGCCAAGGAGGGAGCTTAGAAGAGAATCCTCCCCAAACCAAACCTAGAGATAAATGCAGCTTTTGCCAACATCTTGATTGCAGTTTTGTGAGCGATCCAGAGCCATAGGAAACCAGCATGGCTATGTCCAGATAAACACTTGATGTTTTAAGCCACTAAGTTTTGGGGTAATTTGTTAAGGCAGTAAGCATATAACTTCCGAATCAGAATTTTTTTACATAATTCCCAGATGATTCACAGGCATGCTAGAGTTTGAGAAGCACAGGGAACAGACAATTCCACACAGGAGTTTTACAATAGCTAGAGGGGAATGTGTGCACAAGAAAACTACTAAAAAGATATGTATGTGGGAAAATTATAGCATGCTTGTATGTTTATGAGAAAGATCCAGTAAAGAGAGAAAATTTACGATATAAGAGGGAGAGAAGATAATGTTATATGATAAGGGTTTGCATTATTATTATTTTTGGTACTCTAATCTAGAAATTTGGTTATTTAATCTAGAAAACACTTTCACATTTTATAAGGTAAAGGGAAGTTTAGATGTTTAAAACCTAAATTTGTATCTATGCAAACTAGCTAAAATAGCAAATATTATTATAGTATGCCTGTTAAAACTGACAATTTAAATACCCAAAATTAAGTAATTCATTTATATTCCTCATTTAATGAATATAATCTTAAATTAACTAAAGCAGAAGTGTAGAGGCCTTGTTGCTCCTTAGGATGATAATTCCCTTTATATAATTTATTTCCCTGTTGTAAATCAGTCAATTAATAAGCATTTATAACATTTACCACGTGGCCAGAACTTTTGCTTGGTGCTATGGAAACAAAAGGAAAATAAAACAAAACTTGGTCTCTATAGACTACGCATCTATCTTTTCTAATTAAGTGCTTATTTGAGAAATATTGACCACTACAGGAGTTAAGGGAGAACTAACTCCAGGCTTCAATCTTTATAGAATAGTTAAGGGCAAAAATAAGAGTGAGCTTGGCCTTGAAGATTTGTAGGTGGAGGGGATGAGGGATTTTTTTAGGTTGGGTGAAATGCATCCATCAAACCACCAGTGACATGTTGAAGGAATGGAGAGAAAACTGGCTTAACTGATGATAGAATAAATTGGAGGACGAAGAGATTGAAGGTAGGGAGTTGGCAGACTTCTCATGCTGCAGTCTTAAGGAGATGTGGACATGAAAAGGCAGTGGATATGAAATAAAGTTTTAACAAGTACCGTTAAAGAGGAGAAGTAGTAGAAGGTCTTAAAGATGACTCTAGATCCCTAACCTAGACAAATGCACTTACTCATAAATTTGGATTGACAGAAAAACACTCAAATAGGTGTTTGGGGGTTACGTATGCATTCCTAGTTTCTAGAAGTTAATAACAAATTGAGTACTATATGTCCATTTAAAGCTCATTATTTAAAATCTAGACTATGAGATAATATTTTTTAAGTGCAGGCGTTAGAATCTTATCTTTTTTTGTTTCCTAAATTCATGAATGTATATTAATAAAATCAACACAGTCATCTTTCTTTGATTATGCATAAATACATTTTTTCCTGTGTGCAAATGTATGTTCATATGTGAAACTTTGTATATATGAACTAAATAACTTTATATGTTTGCCATATACAGACACATATCAATATACTTGGTGTTTAAGTGGATGGACTTGGCGGCAACTAATAACAACAAGAACAAGTAGACTGGAAAAAGCAGCAA